TCGCGCGATCCTCTTGACTCCTCGAATGCTCGAACATGCTCGACCGTGACCAACGGACGCCGCGAAACGAGTTTGCGGATTTTCAATTTTTTTCGTGCGGTAGTCACGCCGGCAACGGCAGCACCTACGGCAGCCACGCATCGATCATCACTGTCGCCTGTTGCGCGATCGGGTGAACGGACGGAGCGTAGCAAGGAAAGGCAAGCCACGGCAAAGTGTTGCGAGCCGTGGCACGACGAGGCAAGACGAAGCAAGGCTGGATGCAGCAGCAGCCGAATGGACGAACCAACGGTCGGTCTTACCGGACGATGCGTACCCTGTCATCCATCATCCGGTCCTCCTACCTGCATCAACAGACGCACCTACGGCGCGACTGTGCACGCTCGATCATTAATACCATTCGGTCGAATACGCGCGACGCGATTCCCTCGAACGTTTGCTCGCGCGCCCATCGACCACTCTACGAATTACCAAATACACGATTTACGCACAGCTTCCGAACCTGGTGATCATTTTTTTTTTTTCATTCAAAAAAACTTCAGAGTTTCCGATTCCTTTTGATTTCCTCGTGGGTCCTTACCGATTGGAGGTTCGACTGAAGCGTCATTTCTTGTTGCTTTCGCGACTCAACGAAATCCTGGCCGAACGACAAACGCGAACAAAGCATTCGACGGATTTCACCGTGTGACATTCTCGCGTAGTTTTCGCGACTTTGTAACGGAACGGAGCAATCGCGCGGTTGGAATACCAGCTACAGAAATCCAAGACCTCGTGACGCACACCGGCTCATCGGCGGAGGTATGACTGCGAGGAAGATTGAAAAGGAACGACGCGAGAACAAATTTGAGCGCGCACGGGCTCATCCGCCTATCAACATAAACACGTATTCCAGAGATACAGTGAGAGGTGGGGGGCAGAGAGAAAGAGCAAGAAGGGCCGAAAGATCAAGAAGTGCCAGAAGAGCATGGATGTGGGAGGAGTGAAGGCAAAGGTAGCGGAGAAAAGCAATCAGCACATACGGATTCGGGGTTTTCAGGAGTCTAGTCGATCGCACGAGATTGAACCAGGCGTGTCCAAGTGCCGCGACTTTCGAATATCTGTCGAAAATCGAAGAGGAGAGCAGGTTCGCATCGATTCCGCTTTCGATAGCACGGGCGCCTTGCATCTCGTCGCGTCGTTTAACGTCGATTGTTTTTCGGGTCAATAGCGTGGGGATCGTAACCTTTTCTCTCCCTTCCACCTTTGCTCTCATCCACTGGTTCTATCTCCGTCTCGAAGCTGTTCAAACGCGTCGAAGAACGCGGCTCGCGTCGCGGCCCATCGAACGTCTCAATCGGCATCTCGCCGGAGCAACAGAGAAGAATCGGTGGACGAGCATTCGCGAGACGGACGACGTGCTTTTTATGCAGAGGTGGAATCGTGAGGAGCGTAGGCCGTAGCTCGTTCGAACGGGGAACGATGGAACGTGGCGTGGTCAAGAATGGGGGAGCGATTCGACAGGCTGATGGAGTGAGTGTTGACTTAGGATAACAGTCGCCTCATCGGTCAATCAGTCAGGTAGACTATCGTAGGTCGGTGCTCCGTCTTCGGTTCGGCCCTGTCGTCTCGTTCGGACGGCTAAGTGACTCACGAATACGACCACCCGACGTTTCGGTTGGAGAGACAAAGCGATTCGAAAAAGAAGAAAACGATTAGAAGAAGAAGAAAAAAGAAGTAAAAGAACTGGAAGAAGAAGAAGAAGAAGAAGAAGAATGAGTAGGAGAAGTAGAAAAAGACGAGCGGACAGGACGACCGAATCGCAAAGATTTGCGTCGACGCTGAACGCGTCGGTTGAATCGCGGTTGCTCGGACGATCGAACTGCCCTACCTGGACGAATTGCAAATACATTAGGGGATCCGTATTGGGACCGCGAATACGGCGCAACTCTAGTCGATTGTAAGACACAAGAATCATCAGAAAAGTAGCGTCGATACAAGATCCATACGTGCTTGCTACGAATCGAGAGTACGAGACGTACGCGCGTCTCGAATGAGCGTTGATGTGGTGCAACGTCGTGGATTCGAGAGCCGGTTGCTTCGAGAGGAAGACACGTCGGCGAGAGGAATACGAGACGGAGAACGAGCGAAAGCCAGAAAGAAGGACAGAGGAAGGAGAATGGATTCACCCGTCAGTCACACTCTGGCAGACCGCGAGAGAATCACAATGCGGAGCCTCCCTTTGCTCTTCGTCTCTCTTTGTCGTTCTGCCCAACCGCCCGTTCACTTGCTAGCTCGCTTGCTCGTCCGTCTGTCCATCCGTCCGTCGGTTCGTCCGTCGTCCTCCTGCCTGCCTGCCTGCCTGTCTGTCCATCCGTTCGTCTCTTCGTCTGCCTCCTGTCACTCACCTCGCCAGCCTCCCGACGGTTCTCGCATCAGGAATTCATCTCCTCTCCTATCCTGTCCTGCCTTGTCCCTCCTCCGTTGCTCCTTTTGTTCTTCCCCCCTCCATTTCTCCAGCAGTCACTCCTTCCTGCCTTCTGTTCTGCTATGGGTTTTCTCGCTCACCAGTTTCTCCGTTTTCCCCTTTTCCCGCATTTCCACCGCCAACAGCGTTATTCGTTGTTGCGCAATCTTTCGTACACGGTGATTAGGTTACTCGAGATTTTGCGCCTTTACCACCTAAAGAAAAACCATTTCCTCGGCTGGAGATTCGAATTATCCCGAGTCGACCATCAACGGGTGGAAGATCGGGACGTAGATAGCGCATCGAGCCAGAAGAACGCAAAGAAACATTTTGTTATCTCAATTTACCCGGCAAACAATTAAAGCTTGCGCGGCCCTCCTTGAATTTTCAGGACGTGTCGCGATGCTTGAACAACGAGTTTAATTGCTGGCAAACGGAACCGATTCAACGCGCCGATGCCGCATAAATTTAAACGAGACGAGACCGCCGCGCTACCGTAAATCTCGAGCGCTTGAAAATTTACGGGACGATCGTTTTCTTTCTCTATTCGACTAACAATCATCGAAGGTTTCGGATACGTAGTTTAAGCTTTAATTCGAAAGCTTGGCGACGAATGAAGCTACGCGTAAAACACTTTAGAACATAAAAGACTCTATTCGCACGAGTGTTCTCCGGTTAAGCCCTTCGATCGGGATTTTATCTCTGCTTGGCAGATTCAAGCGGACTATGCACTGATAGCCGATCCGAATAACGAGAAGAAAGGAGAGGCCCAGAGCCCATCGGAGAACGGAGGAAGAACGAGAGGGAAGAGATTCATCGATAAGACTAATTATTGTTGCGCATGGTGTAGCGATGCTGCGTCGAGACAGGGGAAGTAGAGGTTCGAAAGAAATTGAGGCAAGATCAAGGACAGAGCAGAGGATAGGAGTCTGGTGGTTTGGCGCGAACACGTACGAGGAGCTGGCGAACGGGCAAAACGGACGAGCAGCGCTCTGTATGCGTTGCTACCAACGTATCCCCGTTGGCATATCCTGCCGTGGCGTTTGGTTCGTTCGAGCCGAGCACGAGAGGAGCCGATATCGCGTGGCAACATCTCCATGTCGGGTCTCCAGAGTTTTCGAGCTCGGTACATCATGCTCCCTCATTCCCTCCCGCGTCTTTCTTAAGAGCAACTTTCTGGAGCAAATGGTCGCATTTTCTTCACTTTGTCGCGTGGTAGCAACTCACATCCAATTTCTTGACGTGTGTCAATTGATAAATCATTCCGTGGTAGATGTTCACGTGAACCCGAAACGCTGTCCAACCACGAAGAGAAATCGGTAGGAAGGGAGGAAGGCGCGAAGGACGCGGAGCGTGTAGCGGAACGAAGGGAGACGAAAAAGAGATCGGGGATGCTCCGGTCGAAGCGGGCGGAGCTGTCCACCGGTGGTCCGCCCTGGTCGTCTCGACTTCTCGCGTATCCCTTCTAGGTACGGACTCTCGATTCCGTACCATTCTCGAACTGTTCCTTTTGTTTCGGTTCGTCGTCGTCGTCCTCTTCCTCGTTCTCGGCGTCGATGTCGCCGTCTTCGCGGTCGTTGGTCGTTTCTTCCTCGAACGCTTCCCGTTCTCGTTCGCCTCGCCTCGACTCGGCTTTGCCTGGCTTGGCTTGGCTTAGCTTGGCTCCTCGTGCAACAGCGGGCCTCTGGGCATCGGATCGTTCACGGTCGCGGAGGGCTTCGGAGGGCCGACTCCGGGCGACAGAGACAATGGACAATGGGGACATAAATCTGCGTAATTAGTTGCCGATGCCTCCGTGGATCGATGCGCGATCTCTTTTCCCTCCTTCTTCCGTAGCCCATCGGCGAACAAACGATCATTTGGTTGGCCAGTCGGCAAAGTAGGACGGTGCTCCTCGAATCGCTTGTCCCCACCCTCCGGAAAGGGAGGTGTGCGGGTTCCTTTCCGCCTCTTTCGCTTTCCTTGGTCGAAGATCGGCATCCACGGCCTTCCGTCTCGCCCTCGCCAACGAACGCGCGTCTTCGAGCAACAAGATGGCGACGCCGGTCGCGTTCTGGAACCATCACCGTGTCTCGGAACTTTTCATCGTTCCCAACCACCGTCGTTTCGCACGGTGACGGAACGAGGATCGTCTCGCGGTATGGAATGTTTACGAGTCGATTCGAGATCCGATTTCGTTGTCGCGGTTCGCGCACGGTGCCAGTAACGATTTGATCGAGGGTCGTAACGCGCGGGGAAACGTACGTTCCGCGCCTACGTTTCGACAATGGGTCGTCTCCCTGATCTCGCTCGACGCGTACGACACGGCATCGCCGCGAAAGCCCGATAAATGAACAGATAACAGCATTGTCTTGGCGTTCGTGTCCCTTCGCGTCCTTCCGCTGTACGCGACACCGCTCATTACAAATTCTAACCCCTCGAGCTTCTCGTTACTTCCTTTCCAGCCACATCCCGTCTTTTCTCTCGTCGCAGACCAAGGATCCCTCTTCCGCTAGATTTTCTTTCGCGTTTGTCCGCCGTCCAAATGAAATATAACCCTACGATGTTCTCGTTTCAGGGGAGGACGGAGTCGAAGGCTCTGGGCCAGGTCTGGCCGCGGACCTCCAAGCGGAGGAGGGCGATTGCGCGGAGGATGACGGACCGATCAGCCCTAGCGAGAGGGGTTGTCCGGCTCCAACCAAAGAGGAAGAGGACGGCGACGCAACCGACGAGGAAGACGACGAGGATGCAACGCCGCCCACACCACCGCCTTCCGCTACAACAAGATTAAATCCTACGATTTTGAGGGACACCGGACCACCGGATAGGTAAAGAACTCTCAGCCTTCCAAAACCCATCGAACGCGGACACCTACACCTTACCGTTTTCAATGGCCAGGGCTGAGCGTATTCCGTGCCTGCAAACCGAAGGGTGGATAGCTAGACGGGCGCGACCGTTGAGAGTGAAAACGTAAATTTCAGCGAACACGGTTCGCTTCAAACTCATTAGCCGGTACTTTACTCGGAGGCTTCGTCGTAAACCGCCTAAATCAACGAGAGCGATGCTGCCGTGCGCTTTGAAGTCGCCGACGCCGAGTCGGACGGCTCTCGTGTATGTACACACTCCAGTGTTCTCGTTGTTTGAGCGCGACGAATCCTCACGTATCCGTGCCGCGCGGACTGTGGCGGATGCGGTGAGGCGCGGAGAAGGTCGCGAACGAACGGAGACGCGGCAAACGGTATTAAACGGCTTCCAAAGAACACGAGACGAATGGAGAGAAACAAAGGAAGAGGGGAACGGTAGACACGTGTAAAATGGAGGTAGAGTAACAGAGAAAGAGAGAGAAAAAGAACGAAAGAAGGAGAGAGACGAGAGGATAAATGAGCCGGTGCCAGACTGATATCGGTGACTGCCGTGAGACGTCGTATAGCTAATAGAGATAGGCACGTGTTACGCGTCGAGCCGTGCCGGCGATCCCACCAACTCCGCCGTCGGTGACACCGCTTCGCCCGCGCTCGGCACCGCTTTGCCGCATCACCGCTTGCCACGGGGGCGGTCGCGGTGGTGGATCCGCGCGTGTGTCGTAGTTTGGTGCCGTGTGGGTGTAAGTGTACGTATTCGTGTCGGTGGCCGTGTCCGTAACGGGCTGCGTCAGTGGCGCCTCCGAACCCCGCGACGCCCCGCCTGACCCCGAAAACTTCCCCTGCATGCGTGCCGCTGTTCCCCTTTCATCTCGCGGCACGCATTCAGCATTCAGTCAGGAGCAGTCAGTTACGAGCGAGCCGTCGACACGCCTGCAACCTCCTGTAGACTGCGCTCTACACGCGCCGTTTTCGAATTCGCGCCCAGCCGTATCGCGTGCCCGCGCATCTCAGAGTCCCATAGACCGATCATCAACGGGGGGTAGAGAGGGGAGAGGACGAATTTCGTTGACCGCGCAGCATCCACCGATCCACGCGCTTCATCGAAAATACCACGACCTATATGCAGCGAGCGTTAACGTGCCACCGACAGGTATCGATTTCCCGCGGTTCTTTTCGCGAACACCGCCGTTCCGTGGGTCCGGTGACAAAAAGATCGACGACACCCCCAGCAGACGTGCGAAACCGTGCACGGATATCACTCACACGTCCACGTAACGGTCTTTCCTTTTGCTTAATTCTTTCAGAGAACTAATGAGTCCGCGCTGCCCTTCGAGAGATTCTCGGGAATCGTCCGGCCCGCCGACTGGTAGCCCACCGCCACCAGCAACGAGGAGCAGCGCGAGTCCTGTCAGTCCGAGTGGTATCGTGCCTCTTCCGCTCGGCGGTCACCCTCTTCTACCGCCTCACTCCGCGGCAATGATGGCTGCGTATCTGCAGCAAACTCATCAGAGGCTGTTGCTCGGCCACTCGCCCTTATCCCGAGGGTCGGTGTCGCCTCTGGTCACGTCCTCGTGTTCACCACCGGCCGCCACTCCGGGTCTACTGGTCTCGCCGAGCAGTATCGGCGATGTCTCGCCGTCGGCCACACCGTTGCCCGCGGTGCTCGATTTCAGCACGAGGAAAGCATCCTCGACGGAGGACGACGAGGACGAACAGATACTGAACCTCAGTAAACCACCGACTCCGTCCTCGTCGACGGAAACGAACAACGGACCGTTGGATCTGTCGGTGCCTAGCAGAAAACGACCGAGTCCGGAAGAATCGCCGCCACCGCCGGTTCGGAAATCTTCTAGATTGGCTGCCGGTTCCGCGGCGGTCGCGGCAGCGGCAGCGGTCGCAGCGGCCACGGCGGCTCACCAGGATCCCGCTCAGGCCGTCGCAGCCGCGGGTTTCGGAAGACCTCCCGTAGTCTCGCCATGGACGTCGCCCGTCGTCGCCTCGCACTTTCCTTACTTCGCCGCCGCGGTCGCAGCCGCGGCGACTAGTCAGCAGCAACTCTCGCCGAAGAGCACCGCCGGCGTGGTGGAGCATCATCAGCTGTGGAACGGCAAGATAAAGCCGCCGTCCGCGTTGGAGAAACCGTATCAGCCCAGCGAGGCGACGAAAGCACTCGAGAAGATGAGCGAGCTGAGCAAACTGGGCGGCGAGGATCTGTTCAGGTCGTCGTCGGGTAACGCGAGTGGAGCCGGTAGCGGTGGCGGAAGTGGCTCGGCCGGCGGTGGCTCCGCCGGGAATCCGACCGGTTCCACTTCCGGTAGTCGTCACAGCGCCTGGCAATCTCATTGGCTGAACAAGGGCGCCGATCAGGCGAAGGACGTGCTGAAATGCGTCTGGTGCAAGCAGAGCTTTCCCACGCTGGCCGCGATGACGACGCACATGAAGGAGGCGAAACACTGCGGCGTCAACATGCCCGTGCCGCCCACCGGTTCCTCGCTGCATCCGCAGCAGAGCAACGTTCCGAGCATGCCGACACCTCAGCCGCCACATCAACCTCAGACCACGTCGTCGAGCAACGCTGGTTCCGGTGGCGTTGGAGGTGCCGGTGGTTCCGCGACACCGAGCAGCAAGCAGAGTCCCTCGGAGTTGAATCTTCTGATCAAGGAGACGATGCCGTTACCGAGAAAGTTGGTGCGCGGGCAGGACGTCTGGCTGGGCAAAGGGGCCGAACAGACCAGACAGATACTGAAGTGCATGTGGTGCGGTCAGAGTTTCCGCTCGCTCGCCGAGATGACCTCGCACATGCAGCAAACGCAACACTACACAAACATCATCTCCCAGGAGCAGATCATCTCGTGGAAATCCTCGGACGAACACAAAGGAGGCAGCGGCGGTGGAAGCGGAGGCGGTTCCGTGGGCGGAGGAGCGGGTAGCGGCGGTGCCGCGATGACCGGCGCCGGTGGCGGTGTCGGTGCTGGTGCTACCGGACCACACGGCGGAAACGCTGGTGCTCCCGGTTCCGGAGCTACCAGCAGCCACGTGAGTGCGGTATTGACGTGCAAGGTGTGCGACCAGGCGTTCAGCTCGTTGAAGGAACTGAGTAATCACATGGTGAAGAACTCCCACTACAAGGAACACATTATGCGTTCGATCACGGAGAGCGGCGGACGACGCCGGCAAACGAGGGAGAAACGCAAGAAATCGTTACCGGTGAGGAAGCTGTTGGAACTGGAACGTGCCCAGAACGAATTCAAGAACGGCGACGCCGCCGCCACCGGGCTCGGACACAATCTCGGGAAACACGCGGGTAGGATAACTTGCGAGAAATGCGGCGATAAGATCGAGACGACCATCTTCGTCGATCACATTCGCCAGTGCATCGGCGCGGGTACAGTGAGCGCGAATCAACGGAACTTTCTCAAGAACGCGTTAATGTCGAATCACTTGTCGGCGACGCTGCCGCCGTCCGAAAGTGGTCGGAAGAGTGCGAACGAGGAGAGTTCACCGGTATCCTCGAGGCACCATCGGTCACCCTCGTCGGCCAGCGACGCGACCACTCCGGGGAAAGACACACCGACGCCGACCGCGAACGAGACCACCGGGAGCTCCTCTCCTTCTGTTTTGAACGCCATCGAGAAACTGATCGAGAAGAGTTTCGATTCCCGGGCGAGACACGGTGCGCCAGGCTTGCATCACGTGCAACCCGGTGCACCGATGGGAACGAGTATTTTGAAACGACTGGGCATCGACGAGAGCGTCGACTACACGAAACCACTGGTCGATCCGCAAACGATGAACCTCCTTCGGTCGTATCAACAACAGCAACAACAACAACATCACTATTCCACGAGCGCGGCAGCGCGACGAGAACGTAGCGGGAGTGAGTCCAGTTCCGTCTCGGAACGAGGAAGTGGAGGAAGAACAGACTCGATGACGCCCGAGAGACGATTGGATCTCTCCTCGGTCGGGCATTCGGATAGGCATTCCCATCATCATCGCGTCACGCCGGACAAACAGCTGGTACCGCAGAGTCTCGGCTCTGGGCGTCATCATCCTGCCGCGGAGGAATCCGGGGACGAGGAATCGGCCACGCCAGCGACAACTTCCGGGACGGGTTCCTCGGGGACAACGGCGACCACGACGGCGACAACAGCTGCGACGACGCTGGCAACGACGTCGTCGACGGTGGTCGTGAAAAAGGAGCCGAGAGACGAGGAAACCGAGGAACGGGTCGGCAACGAGGAAGAACAATCGCAGCCCCCGTCGAATCGAGAGGTGTTTGTGAAAAAAGAGATCGTGGACGAGTGCAGAGACGAGGAGGAGCAAAGCTCGTTCAATCACCGACGAAGCAGCCTGCACGAGGGCTCGGAGGAGGGCCGCGAGGTTTTGTCGCCTCGAATAAATCCTCCGACGCCCAGATCGACAGGGCAGATGGAACAGCTCGGCCGCAGTCCCTGTCGAAACAGCACCAGCAGTCCGACGAGCAGCGACCGATCGGTTACACCGCGTGGTACCCCAGACACCAAAGGTTCGAGCAGTCTCGGCGCGCTTTCTTCCATGTTCGACAGCCTGTCGGGCGGCGGCGGCGGAAGTGGCGGAGGTGGCGCGAGCGGGGCAGTCGAATCGCAGGGTCGCAAGGCTAGCAGTCATCCACTGGCAGCGTTGCAAAAACTCTGCGACAAGACAGAGACGAGAAGCGGGAGCGGAGGTGGGGGCGGAAGCGGAGGCAGCGGTAGCAGTAGGTCCGCGGGTGGACCAGGTTCGACTTCGGGGTTGGGTTCGTCCGCGAGTGGTGGAGTGGGCAACGCCGGCCCGGGATCCGGAACGACGCCGGGCGCGATCCTAGCTTTCAGTTGGGCCTGCAACGACGCGGTGGTCACCGCCGACTCGATCATGAAGTGCGCCTTCTGCGACACACCGTTTATCTCAAAGGGTGCGTACAGGCACCATCTGTCGAAAATGCACTTCGTCAAGGACGGCGTGATTCCGGACCCGTTGACCATCGGTCGGTCAGCCGCGGCCGCTGCCGCTGCCGCCGCCGCAGCGGCCGCGGCCTCTCAGAACTCAGCCGCGGGACCACCGACCGGTCACAGTTCTTCCTCGCCCCCGACATCGCAACGCAACAAGTCGCCGCCGCTTTCGCAGGCGAACGGTAGCCCCTCTCAGTCAGCGGCCTCTCCCCTCGAGGAGAGCCCGCATTCGAAATTTCTCAAGTATACGGAGCTGGCCAAGCAATTGTCCAGCAAATACGTATAGTCCGAGCCCCGTAAGTAGCGGTGCCACTTGTACATAAGTGTATCTATACTGTAACGACTGTAACGACTGTAACGACTGTAACTAGCGACCACCGCGACGTGGTTCCAGACTATTCGACCTTTGAACCTCGACCTCGACGATCGGCTTTCTCGCGTTCGCGATCTCCTCGCCTGTCCGAACGAGGTTTTGCGTCGCGACGGCGGCCACCGAGAACCCTCGTCGCCTGTTCCAATGCCGAACAACATCACAGATCTCTGCTCCCATTTTTCCCTTTTTCTCTCCCTACACCCCCCGATCTCGCGTCTTCCGAAACTCGGTAACGTTTTATCGTGCTGCCGCCCAGTCCCCTACGGTTCCGGTCGCTCTTCGTAACGCGGATACTCGTCGCCAGGACGGTCGAGGCACGCGAGTGACAGAGAAACGATACGTTCAACGAGGAGGCAAACGTCGATCGTGCGTTTAATTAAATTGTGATGCCACCATATCTCGCGGCACTGCTGAGTCAAGGGGCTCGGCGCGCGGCCAAGTTTGTGATTTTATAAATACTTAAGGGCGTTTACGACGTGCAACGAGATGCGATACGATTGGAAAGATTACGGCACGGACCGACGAGATAGATACACACGGGATATGAGTGAAGATGGCGTGAACGAGAGAGGGAGAGAAAGGGAACACGCGAGCTCGCGCGCGCGCACGCGTGCCCAAGGGAGAAAGCGATGAAGAGAGTGAGGGGGAGAGATAGAGAGAGAACGGTGAAGCGCGAATCGCGCGGAAGAGTGGATGTACGAAAGTTATCCGAAACGATGGAGATGAAAGCTTACCCGTTACGGCTGTCGTAAGGTCGGATCATCATGTATACCTCTAGAACGTAAGAGCGTAGTTGATTAGCGCAGCATAGGATAGGCTAGGGTCCGCCCTTGTATAGGAATCTCTTTGTTGATAATTATCGCCACGAAACCGGTGAGGATCGTTCGAGGTCGATCCCCCTCGAAATCTAGCTGTATACCGGCGAGGCGGAGACATAAGGATACGAGCGTAAAAGAATCGGCGGACAGAGCGTCGATGAAGCAACGAGATACGGTGCAATAGCGAGGCTCGCGGTTACTCGGGACGCGCGCGGGCCAGGGCGAGTCGGAGCGAGGCGTGACGAGGCGAAGCGAGGCGAGGCGAGGCGAGGCGAGGCGAGGCGAGCGCGCGCGACGTCCTCGAACAATATCGTTTTCCTTCACTCGTAGCGCGCGAATAGACCATTGTAAATTTCCTTTCCTCGAAATACTATTTATTGCGCCGCGCGAGCAAATGCGACATTTTAAGTGTAAATTACTGTCATTCTTATCGCTCGAATTATCGCGGTTACCGTGTATATTGACTACGATTACGATTACGATTAAAATTACGATTACGATTAAATCTATACTACGAAATGAAGAAGAGAAAAAAAAAAGCAAACGGAATAAAGCACCGAGCAACAAATTTTGAAACCGCGACGCGTGCCGAAAATCGATCGCATCCCAGGGAACGTGTCGGGCCGCGCGCGAACAATCACCGAAGCGAATAATCTTGCATCTGTGCGTGCGCGCGTGCGTGCATGCGTGCGTGCATATTTGAGTGCGTTCGTCCGTCCGTTCGTCCGTCCGTCCGTCCGTGTGCTTGCTGCGTGGCTGTGTGACTGGGTGCACGCGTGTTTACGGCCGTGCATCGTCGATTGTAGGATATGTGCACGAAAGTTGGCGACGATCGGAGTGTGCAAGCGTGTGTGCACGTGTGCGTGTATGGTGAGTGAGTGTGTGTGTATGTGTGTGTGTGTATGAGAGAGAGATAGATGGAGCAACAAATATACACGGAGCAGGAACGGCAGAGATGACAAGAGAATGAACGATAAAAGCGCGAGTCGAAGCACCGGCGTCGGAGTCGAGTAAGAGAAAACTAGACGGGGGACGATGATTGCGCGCGTTCGAGGACGAGGAAGCCCGAATCTGGAGCGGAACACACTTGTATACGTATTTCTTGTAAACTCTAATTCTTCCATCGCGGACTTTAAAAGTATTTATCGATATAACGATAATATTAATATTATTATTGTAATTATATACGACTGCTGAGAGTGGGACAAACAAACGAGACACGAGGTCTACGTGGATGCGAAGAACGACATACGCGCACAATTAAACGCGGAATGTGCACACACTCGCAGAAACTAAAGAAAACGAAAAACGCGAATGGCCAACCGTGCGAAAAACACGCTCGAAAAGTACCTACCTACTTACAAATGCGCAACCACAAAGATATGCATCATGTATACGCGACTCTTGAAACCATTTTACCAGATTTGTCATTATTTAATTATTTCGGTTGTATTTTAAAATGCAATTAAAGCTCAAATAAATATATATGTTATAAAGTACAAGATTCATGGGGTTCGATTACATTATTCTGTACCTACATCTTACGTTACCCGAATTCCGTTCCTTCTAATATCCCCTGCGATCTTCGAATACGCTTCTCAAACAGGCCCTCAAACAGATCGCCAAAACACTCGAATACGTAGACAATTTCTGGCGAGAGGACAGAGGAATTCGCCTGGAAAAAGAAACGTACGGCAAGTCGGGACTACTAGGCGAGGCGCTGCGATGGAGAAAGACAGAAATAGGAGGAAGAAAGAGAGCTCACGATCCTCGGTTACCTATTGCCGAAGGCTGGTAATGAATTCGTCTAATGGGTCGTAAAGAATGCGATCTTATGGAGCGGAGAGGATAAAATAAAAGATCGGCGATGAGGCTACCGATTTTCGAACGGTCCTTAAAGTAACCCTCGCCTCGAAGAAACGAGCTCTCTCCTTTTGCTCTCTTTCCACCGTTCCACCCACCCACCCATTCACCCACCCTTTCACTTTCGGTACCCTTGTACGTCGATTCGTTGTTTTCTGTTTTCCAAGTCTGTACGATCATCCATTCGTGCGTACACGTTTCCGAGTCATTTACGATCGCTCGAATTAACCGCGACAATTTTACGGCGTTGTCGCCGATCGTCATTCGTCTCGTTTGTTCCAAGATCGTATTAGGTATGTCGGAACCGCGGAAAAGAGAATCTGTAGTGCGTTCAGGAAGCTGAATTTTGAAATTGGTTAGCGCGGGAACCCATCGTCACAGCGCGGTGGTACGAACGATGAAGACGTCAGTTGGCCGTGAACGCGTGGGAGAATCAGCTGGGTACACCGTGTTTGGCCAGTGGGTGTTCGCACTCTCCTCGCGCGTCCTTCTCTCTGCGTTCCCCTCTCCTGTTTCTCTGCCCGTTTTCACGGATTCCCCGCCTCGTCTCATCCTTTCCGTTTCTATCTCGTCGTTTTACCATTTTTCCGTCTCGCTCCATCCCCGCTTCCTCGGCTGTCTTGTTCCAATTTAGTTCCATAAGATACGCCCGATCTGTGCATCTACTTTACGGCGGTCGCGAGCGCGGGCGAGCGCGCGCGCGCGCGCATACTGAGAGATCGCAACAAAAAGAGGACTCGGTCGAGGGTAAGGGTAAGGCTGCGCCTGATCAGGTAAGCTACTATCCGTGTAAGACGCGAATACCTCGTTACATTTGTTCTCCGCTTTACACGAGCCTCGCGCGCCGTGAACAACAGGCTTAAGTCCGACGTGGACGAATAAAAATTTTCCGTGGTCGCGCGCTCCGGTGAAATTTCTTTGGACATTTGCAATGCAAATCAGCAAAGTTCGCGATATCTTACCCCCTCTTGTCGTACGAAGAGCAATCGGCGACTAGCGTAGAAACAGAGAAATTCCAGCAACGCGTCCAGAGGAAATGGAGGAGGACGAGAAAGAAGAGTGTATCCACGCGACGCAAGGTCTCGATCGTTCGTAATCGGAAACGGGAAAAAGAAGATGAAGGTCGGAAGGTGGTAATGTAGAACGGTATGCGTATAAATGAAAGAAGTAACGCGGATACCGGATGTCGGGGGTGCGGCGGACGCTGACGCGAGACGGAGCGTGCGACCACGGAAAGAAGAGAAGAGGTAGAGCGAGAATCTGTCGGAGCAAGCACACTCGGGCACAGATTTACAAGGCTGCCGCTGTTTTACGAGCCCACAAAGTGCCGCTCGTTCGCTGGTACGCCCGCTCCGCACCTACGCGTCTCTGCTCAGCCACACGTCGAGGGCACGTACGATACGAGAGGTGCGCGCGAGACCATACCTCACCCTACTCACCAATACGCCGACAAACGGTTCGTTTTAAAGGGCTTGCGATACGAGTCGTCGTCGTCTTCCTCGTCATAGTCGTCGTTCCGTGTTTTCGCCTGGAACTTGGGAATGTTCGATGCTCCGGGAATATGTAATTCTTTCCGACAGACTTTAGAGTTCGCGCGCGCGTGTGCCTCTGGTCGCGACACAGAGCCGGCTTTGTGTCTTCGTTATCGAACAAAGAGAACAGTGGTCTCTGTCGAGCCCGCAGGTGTCGGGATAGTGTTTTATTACGCCGTAATCGAGTCGACGATGACGCCGGAAATGGTCGCAGATAGGCGACGCGACACCAAACGATCGCGAGAACCTGGTCGAACGTTCGAAACGAGGCCTTATTGCCTTGCGAATAATTTTATAGCGACTTTCTTTGAATACTACAGCCCCTGGTACCAGAGGCGCCTGGAGTTCGGTCGCGTTCCGTCGTTCATTCTTCGAAGATTAAAAGAAACGAAGATGGAGGGTGAGACGGTTGTCGAAGAAACGGAGCGAAACGGTGGAGCAAGAGTGAGTAGCGGCGAAGGAAACGAGAAAGAGAAAGAGAGAAAAGGGGGAGAAAGAAAAGAAAGGATTAGACTACTATTTTGCAGTTTCTTATAAATATTCATTTCTTCTTCTCGATGAATCGGGGGACTGGAGGTTCTCGCTCCAGGCGGTAAGTCGCGTTAAGAGCGCTAACGAGCGACCCCTCCTGTAACTAGAAGGGAGAGAGTTTCCCCTTAGTCTCCTAGTTCTCCGCTCCTTTGCCGAACAACGGGGAGGA